GAAAGAGTTAAGGTGACAGCTTCTTTGCAGATACTCAGAAATGGGTTAATTAAGAAGTTTATGGCAGTAATGTAGGAGGCAGTCTCTTACAATGCAAACTCCTTTCTGATGACCCCAGTCAGTTTCTCAACATTGAACAAATTAGTCATTGAATAGATTGAAATGAAGAAAACATTTCTCATTGTACTTACCAAAGAGGATACCCCTGGTTAGGCAGGTTTAGAACCTCCCAGGTACTTAGTGAATTTACCATTTCAGTGATCTGACTTTTTTAAACATGTACTACTTCAATAACATATTTTCATTTAAAATGTAAAGGACTGTGATAGAGTCTAGTAAATTCTTAATGTAGTGTTGTCATATTTTTGGTGTCGCATTTTAAATGCATTTTGCTTTTTTAGAAAACAATTAATAAACAATTTGATTTAACTAAAGAAGAATTTGAAAAAAAAAACCAAACCTAAAAAAAGGTATTCACCCTGGCTGCCTAAGGAACTGGGATCTCAGATCTGAGTCTCTAAAGGTTAGATTCTTGAGTCCCAGTGCAGATTAATAATATAACTGGCTTTACATTCATAGGTACTGAAGGTACTTGGCTATCTTTTAATTTTTAAGAACTCATCATCTTATTACAGAAGTGTGTATGTATAGATTTAGGTGCTTAGCTTTAGGCAACCCCATTTAGAAGTTTTGAATTATGCTTTGGCCTGAGCTCTTTTGATCTAATTCCCCCTTCCACCACATTGATATTTTGTGGCTGACTTCTTGGCTCAGAAGGTAATGTTGATTGTAAGGATGACAAGATATTTGCTCTGAAACGCGTGACATTAGACATAGAGCTGTGTGATTAAGACAGTTTGTCATTTGAAACCCAGATGCTGCTAGCTGTTTTTATCCAACACACGCTCTTATCTGGTTCTCACTCATGGTAATAATGCCATTGTGTGCATAGGAGATTGTAAAGAAAATGGGAATTAAAATGTAAGAAGTCATTATTCAGAGTTGTAAGCCTACTGTTAATATTTGAAATGTTCTGTGTTTCCCAATCTGAAGGCTGTGTTTCTGGGCGATATGGATATGGATGTAAGGAAGCCTGTCCTGAGTGCCGTAATAACCTACCTTGTAATAGCTTGACTGGGATTTGTGATGAAAACACCCGTTGTCTTGCTCCCTTCAGCACAAGGAGTTGTGTAATAAGTAAGTTCTAACAAAGGGTGCCATGAAACAGTCACTTTTATACTGTGTTTTCTGGTTTTAATCCACATAAAAATTAGCTGGTTTGGTTCTCGGATCAGGGAAGACATTGACATGAGTCTAGAAGCTCTTGCCCAAGCTCTTTTCATTTTTCACCGGTTAGTCTTTGAAACTTTGTTTATGTGTATGGGTTAGTGTTTAACAAGAGACCTAGAATATCTCCTTGCCCTGAAGCTTCTGCCTCCTAGCAGTTCACAATGAGCTTGATTGCTGCCTTCTTCATGAAAGAACCTACAGTGATTGTGTTAGATGCTACCATTTTCCTATAACATAAAGAACAGGTAGAGCAGCAGTGCAGGCTTCCCACTTTAATGTGCTAACAGCTGTGGCCTTCATGCACATTTAATTTAGTTGGCTAAGACTGTCATAAAGGTTTTGGTGCCAGTGTATGAGTGAGATGGCTTCTTTTCTTGCCTCACATTTTTGCCCCTAGTTAATCTGCTTTGCTGTTACATAGGGAATAGAACTTGACCCTGGTTCCTCACTGTGAAGACAGTCCCCAGTAGGGGTAGCACGGCCATAGTCAAGCTTTATATTACCGTTCTTTACTGTTACCAGTGCAAAGGATGTGGAGGAAGTACATGGGACTCTCTGTATTCCAACTTTTCCCAGCCCCCTTGGAAAGTTTGGCTCCCTGGTATAAGTTTGAGAAGCCATCAGAGCAGCACCTTAATTATATCTCTTGATCGGATTTATGTGTATAATCATTTACTTGCATTTGCTTTTGCCCCAAAACTCAAAATGCAGTAAGTACCAGATTTCTAAACATGGAGAAGAATCATCCATGTCCAGGGAAGCTTAAACTCTTACAGGCAAAGACAGACCAAGGAAAGAGAATATAATGTACAAGAAAGTGATGGGAATGATCTTAGATTCATAATTTATTTATGTAAGAGGGTTTTACTGTTTTGTTTTTGAAGTTCTATATGCTTAGTTCCCACCCATCCTGGCAATTCACTTGTCCTATGCATCAATTTCCAGCTGCAGAACCAATATCTCCCTCCCTCCCTCCTTAAAGTCGAACAGCTTATGTATGAAGTAAACACATAAAATCAGATGACTGAAACAAGTACAGTGAAGTAAGAGCTGTGTTGCAAAGTATAATGTTATTGTAGGGAGAGGAAAATCTTATAACGAAGTTACGTGAAAGAACACCTGCATTTTGCATCAGCACTTAAATTTTGCTCTGAGCAGTGCATTTTTATCAGTGCATATGCTAAAAACAGAAGCAGCTAGAGTAACATGTCCACACTGTGGCAATGTTATTTATGATGGAGGCCTGAGAATAATAGGCAACATAATCATAGAGGTCAGGGGTATAGGATTAAGCAAGCTAATAATCTTAGTTCATTTAACACCTTTTGCTTCATATGCACACTTAATAAGATATATAGATAGGTAACTGGTGCTGCAGACAGCAGCAGTGGCCTGATTCTCCAGTAACTTTATTGAAGCCAGTGGGATTACATCAGTGTAAAACTGACCTGGTGCATGGAACAGTAAGACCTTTGCAAACTGTACAGATGGAGCTACTGCCACTTCTGGAGGGCAGCAGCTGAGCTACTATTTACATTGGAGATGCTGTTCAAAGCTAGTATTTCAAGAGATTTTCACTAAGTAAACCAGGGCTAATGCCACATTTAAATTAGTATAGTGACTTGTCTGTGCAATCTAGAAATTGTATTTTCTGTATGTGAGAAGATTCACACTTCACTCTCTCATCCTTCAAAAAGTCTCATGACTTGATGACAGAACCATTGTGTACCTAAGTATTTCTAGGATCACAGTCTTAACAAAGGTGCTGACAGGTGTCCAGCTGTCTCATGTGCACACAATATAGGTTTTATGGCTTACTGGTCTACCACCAATGTCTGTGTGTAGCCTTCTCAGGACAGGTAAGGCAGTAGCTGCAGTGGACTTTTTTTAATGCCTGTCGCCTTGCACAGGTCCTGCACAAAGCCTATGAATCACCCAAATCCCACTTTTGCTGCCAAAGGAAGGCATAAGTAGGTCTTTGAACAGTGAATAAGCTCTGTATCAGCCCTTTTCACAGTTAGTTTTTTCACTTGAAATGCATGCTATTTTGTGAATGCAAAGAATGTCGAGATATTTTTTTAATGGTAAATGTCTGTAATTTTATTTTTGACATGAGACACCAGTGCTGTCTTTATTTTTTTTTTTTTAGGCACAGTCAGTTTAAAATGTCCAGAACTTGGTTGGCAATACTGGAAGAGGTATTGTTACTTTATCCTTCCAGCTAATTGGAAACCTTGGAAGGATGCCAATACTACGTGCAGTCGGTACAGAGGTGCTGAACTCCTTTGGTTTGAAAGTGTGGAAGAACTGGTACAGTTATTAAGATCATCCCTTTTCTCCTGTTAATGAGCTGGTTGGCCTAGGGTTGGAGCACTTCAGAATAGTGGCACTGTAAAGGTGTTATAGTAGAGGCTGTTCTTTTCACACTTACATGGAACAGTAAACATCACAAAGGTTGTACATGTGAAGAATATGCTTCACTAGGCATCCAGGGAATTTGTTTGACCTTGTAGGGGATTTTCTGGCCTGGAAAGCCAGCATATTTGGACTCTTAGATAACACCCTTTTTCCCTTCTCTTAGTTTAATTTTTTTTCTTTTCTTATTTGGATAAAAATAATCAACCCACAGATGCCTTTTATTTCCATGTTCCTTTTTATTTCTGAAAACTTGTTTGCAGACTTGGATAACAGAAGTTGTGTTTGGAGAAACATGGACAGGACTGCAAGATATAAATCAAGATGGTATCTGGGCATGGGCACATGAAGATAGTGCATCTAGTGTTTTGCCATGGTTTGTATATGAAATAATCAGGAGTTGTTTTGATGTTTAGTTTAATGTGTTTGTACTACAAAAGCACAGTAAAACAAAAGTGTTATCTGTTTTACTATGCAGATGCAAAAGAAATCTCAGATTTATTACAGCCTTAGACATATTGTTAACATGAATATTTCAGTAAAATCTTATGAAGTCCATTCCACTCTGTACAGGAAAATATTTAGGCACTGTTTCATAGAACACTGAATATGTATACATTTATGAACAGTATGTATATATTAATAACATATTTATAATCGCATTAGGAGGCCCAATTTAGACCTCTCTTGTTTCATGCAAAAATAAGGCACGTGATTGAAAAAAGGCATTACATTACAAAAAGTTCAGCGAGTGTAGTCTTCATCATCCTGTTCATAAATCTGTGAACTTCTTCTGAAAGCTAGTTAGGGTGTCTCCTTCAACTACTCCTATTAACAGGCTATTGCAGAACTCTACTTCTCTGATGGAAAGAAGCCTTCTGATTTCCGACCTAACTTTTATTTGTGTTCAGATTTGGCCAATTTATTTTTGTGCCTGCATTTTCCTAAATAGCTTTTCTTCCATCCTTATGGAAAAAACAATCCTATCTCTTCTCAGCTTTCATTTTTTTCATACGCTAAACAAACCAGCCTTTTAGACTGTTCTTGTCATACAGGCTCTCCGTTCTCTCAATATATACTAGTAACCACTCTCTTCACCTGTTTGTTTGAATTCCTCTCTCTTGTGCATAGTCATCCAGCATATTTTACGCAATATTTCTGTATAATACTTTAAACTAGGGGTCACGGCAGCGGTGTGGGTTACATTGTGTTGTGCTCAGGCCAGGCAGTGGTGGTGGTGCTAGGAGGGGGGGCTATGGTGAATTTTTGGGTGCCTGCAGCCCCCTATGTAGCCCCGCTTCCAGCGCCGTCTGGCACACCTCAGCCCCAGTTCGCAGCCAGCCTGGCCAGTGTGCAGATCCAGGGGCACACAACCCCCATTCCGTCCCAGGGTGTGTGCCCCTGCTCCCTGCACCCCCTGGGCAAGCCGCTCACAGCTCCGCTGCCCTGGCTGTACAGGGCCTGCCCCTGCTCCAGCCCTATTCCCTCCCTCCCTGCCATTTGGGGGGTGGGGGGCAGATTGAGGCCTCAGCAGTGAGGGAGGAAGTGGGGCTAGGACTGGGGCCTCAATCTGCTCTGCCTCCCCCCTCCAGCCCTCTCCCCTTCCCCGCCCTTTCCCCCACAGACTTACCTGCTGGGGCTGCATGCTCCCAAATATGTTTTTCTCCTTCTGCCTAGATCTGCCCCCACTTCCCTCCTCAGAGACTTACCTGCTGGGGGGTGAATGGTGGTGCACAGTAGATCTTAGGGTACTTTTAAATGCCAAAGTTGATCTCCTACTTAAAAAGGTTGGAGACCACTGCTTTAAACAATGTAAAATCATCGGAGTGGTATAATTTCAAACTTATACTCATTCAAGGCAGGCAGTGATTATACCTTGATTGTACCAGTCAATAATTGTTTGTCCTTTCTTTTGCAGCTTTTGTAATATCTGACATTTTAAAACACTTTTATCATTAAAAATCCATTTGTCATCATGGTGAATGGATACTGTTCTCTATAACAATACGGAAGGAGGGTTTTTTTTTTGGAATCTTTGTCTTGTATTCTAGGAACGGCATAGACTGTTGATGAGGAAATTCTCCCCCTTCCCTACTGCTGTTTTTTTTGTTAATCCCTGGTGGGCAGTCAGAGACAGTTTTCATATTAGATTCTAGTCATTTTTATTCCTTCCTTTGCAGTGGATTATTTTTTCCATGTCTCTTCCAACTCATGTTCTGTAGATAGTTCATTGTTCTTGTTGTCCTTCCCTCAATCCGTCCCAGTTTACTGACAGCTTAGGTGAGCTAGATACAGTCCAAAAAGAACTGATGCCCTGAATTGTGTTTTTATTTTCTGCAACAGGTTAGCCCTAAAAAAGAAGAAAAGACAGCATAGATGTGTTGAATTGACAGCTGATAAATACGTGTCTGTAGCAGACTGTAATAAAGCCAAGGGGTGGGTGTGCAAGAAGGCAGCAGAACCAGGTTTGAAGTCTGTTGATTTATATTAATGTTTTTGTGGAATTTCCTTTGAGCAGAAGGCCAGTATGTGAAAGGTTTAAGTATGAGTTGAATAGTGCCTATACCTTGTGCTGTCTTTGCACGGGGATGAATTTCTGCTTTATCAAAATTAGCTTACCCTATGTGGTTGAAGATTTTTTTTTATTGTATTTCCCAAAGGGCAGAAACATTGAGCACTGATAGAAGCATCCTATAAAGTGTCTCAAAAAGTTTACTAGAGCTTATTCAAAGCATTCCAAAAGTGAACTCTAATAGCTGCATGTATGTTCATCAGAATGCACTGAGGTTTTAAATACAGTTTTAACACAGCCTAGAGAAAGAGACAGTATGAGTTGTTTGTGAATAGACATAATCTATTCATATAACTTATGCTGAGCAAATGAATGTGGAACAACGACAAACTGACTGTTAAGACCAAGGTCAAAGTATATCATGCTTGCATCATCAACACAATTTTGTATGGCAGTGAATCCTGGATTACACTCTACTCAAGAAAAACACCTCAACAGCTTCCACTTACATTGCCTTTGCCTCATTCTAGGAATTTCCTGGCAGGACAGAGTTGCCCATGCTGAGGTCTTGGAACATGCCACCGTTCCAAGCATCCATTCTCTTCTCATTCAGCATTATATGCAGAAAATGGATGATGGCCATATACCCAAGGATGTCTTGTACGGAGAACTCTTTACAGGAAGATGACCATGTGGGCATCCTGATCTCTCTTTCAAAGATGGTTGCAAGAGAGATATGAAGGCAATGAACACTGAGCCAAATGACTGGGAGAAGATTGTTGAAATGAGGATTGAAGGACTTGGAAACAGCCTTTGAAGCATGGAATAAAGGCTTTTGTGGAAAGAAGAGCCCAATGTTCAGAGGGGAGAAGAAACCTTGAGAAGAACCGGCATCCTATTCATGACTGTTAGATATGAAATTCACATGTGAAAAGTTCAAGAATTGTGCTCTTCAGCCACACTTGCAGGTATTCAACAAGATGTTGTCTCATTCAGTTCAATTCTGTTGTCTCGTAAGACAGACAGATGCCTATAACAGCCTAGAGAAAGAGACAGTGGGCATGTCTACATGTGCTATTAATGCAATATAGGCTTACTGCACAGTAAAATACCATACAGTAAGCCTTCCCTGGGGGCGTGACTATACTTGCACCCTGTTGGGAGCAAATCTGCTCCCAACAGGAGCAGCCCAAAACAAAGATGCTGTTGCCCTGCTGCCCCCCTGCAGCAACCAACCAGGGGGAGCTCCAGGCTTCCTGGGGTGCTAGCCCGGGGATTGGTTCCGATGTGCACAGGGCCAGGAGAGCTCTGCCAGCTGCAGTGGCAGCTATCTCCTGGCCCCATGCACATCAGGAGGGGTCCTGATGTGCACCAGGCTGGGAGACAGCTGCTGCTGTAGCCGGCAGAGCTCTGCCAGCCCCATATACATTGGGACACAGCTGCCAGTGAGCCCCTGTGCCCAGTAGGGTTTCCCCATCAGATGGCTCACTGGGACCTCGTTGGGGCAGCTGCCGGTGAGCCCTGAGCTGGGCGGGGATTCCCCTTCCAGCATTGGGCTGGCTGGGACCTGTCCCATTCTAGAGGGCTCCCTGATGGCTGAGCGAGGCAGTGAGCCCTGTCGTACCCGTAAGGGGTCGAGTGGTATAACTTATTTTAGGATAGACACACAGAACTTTGAAGCAAGCCTTTGTTTATTAAAAGGAAAAACTTAAAGAGTATACTCACAAAATCCAATACAACATGCTTAAGTCTTGTTACTTCTTATGCGCAATTTCTAAAGACACCCTTAAAGATGATGCCTGGAGCAGATCAGCTGAGCCATCGGTTGTGCACTACCTGCAAAGCTTCCCAAGTATCTGTTCCCTCAGCAGTACGTTTCTATGAGAGCCCTAAGATCTGCACACTTTGCTTAAATTTTGGGTCAAATTTATTTGCATCTAAGCGGAATTTAGGACCAAATTTAGATTAACATTTACTGTGATTGGCCAAATGCAAGAACATTTTGTGGTTAGCGTGGTAAGTTGCTAGTTTCAATTTTATACTGCATTGTGGTGAGATACCCTTTTCACCTCCTGACCTTAAGAAGCTGATTTTCAGTCTTTTCAAGCAGTTGATATGGAGGGCGGAAAGAGAGAGAGGAAGAGAGAAGAGAAAAAAACGCCACAAAACGAAACTCCAGGAAGAGTATAACCTAAGAGACCTCACCGTCGCAGAGTTGTTTCTTCATGGTTCGCCAGTACAGGTGTTTTATTGCTTTGACAATGTTGTGAAACCATATGTTTCCCTGCCTCGGCGGCTCAGTAGCAACCGTGCAGTTAGAACACTTAGGATTCTCTTTTGTCAAGTTTGTACCTTGCTCCTGTACTGTCAGCAAAACCGTAGGTATGGGTATCACAAGCCCCCAGCTGAGTGAGGAAGCAGATAGCTCCCCAGTCCTGAAGCTGCTTGACTTCCAGCTCCTGTGGGAATCTTGAAGTCATACAGCGCCGGGATGGGGGTGAGGGGCAAAAAGCAACCTCGTCCCGGTGGCTCCTGGGGAGAGCTTGGGAGCAGAGCAGCACCAGGATGGGGGACAGAGAACTCCTTCATTCCCTGTGGCCCTCAGCTGGTGTAGCTGACAGGGAGCAAGTTTGGTGTCAGTCAGCATCTACATGAGTGCTGCTGTGCGGTAACTACTGCGCAGTTAATCTAGTACCTGTATTTACTCAAAGTTGCCCTCAAGCGCGGAGGCATTGACAGCAATGGCTGGGAGGAGCAAGCTGATGACTGTTTGGTGTGGCACCACGTGGTCCACCAAGGTGTGCACCACTTCGAAGCCCAACAACTCAATACTGAGCCAGAGTGGCGGCAGTGCAGGAAGGAGAAGGAGACTACCTCAGAGCTGTGAATCCCACTCCCCCACGCAACAACATGCCCCCATTGCCGAAGAATGTGTGTATCCAGAATCAGGCTCCTCAGTCACCTGAAGACCCATCAAGCCTGACAGACACCATCCTCGTATGTGAAGGACTGCCGACAATGACAACGACCATGCAGTAGATTAGTCTACTGCACAGTAAAGCTTCTCATGTAGACGTGCCCAGTATAATTTGTATGTGAACAGACATTGTCAATACAAGCTGCTTCCTGATACTGCTGGGCATCTGAAGTTTTATAGAAAAAATAACGTTGTACATATTTTCCAGAAATGGCTCCTATTAGCTTTATTATTATTTATGTTTAAATGTTGGCTGTAAAGAAATGCAAAAAAAGTCTCATGTTTCACTGTCAGCAAATGGCTGGTATTTACAGACTGCTTAATGTCTATTCATATAAGGAATTAAACATCTTAAGGCAGTTGAGTAATGACTCTTAGCCATTCCATTAAAATCTCAGATGGTAAAGGGTAGTGAATATGAACTGTAACACATGTAAATTTTATCAGTATACATTAATCTATAACTATCACCTCATCTGTTTATATACTGTGGCAATCTTCTAGTAAACCATCAGTGAGTGAAACTTTTTTCTTTCTTCAGATCTTGATGTGTTCATGGGCTTTTGGGATACAGTAACAGTCTTTCCAACATTGACAATATCTAATAACTACACTAACCATACACTGGCCAGAGAACAATGTGTAAAGCAGAAACGTGGGTGCCTTGGCTATATGCTTTGGAGAGATGCTTATTTACTGATACCTAACTCTGAATTGGTTATTGGTGGATTTGCACCCAGTGTCACATACCTAAAATCAGGTAGTATACCTTATTTGGATATATCAGTGAATTTTACCTCCTGTTAAATAAAATTTCCTCATACGCTAGGTAGCACCATGAGGGTTAAGTGGATACTGTGCATAGTTTTTAAAAATTCTGTTCTGGCTTAAATTCTAGTGACCCCTAGCTGAAAATTGCTAACATTTCATTTATTGTAAAGAGAAGGAACATATTATTCAGCATGTTTTCTGTGAGAAAATGTCCATTCTAACCATAACAGTTTTTTTCCCCAAGATTGGTATGTGTTTCATTTCTTTTGAAGCTTGTAATGTTGGATACTATGGAGTGTCGTGTGAACAGGAATGCTCACGTTGCTATTGGGACAGGCCATGCAATAGCATATCTGGAGAGTGTGTGGACAGTGTTGTTTGTGCTGCACCAGAAGATGTAGGGGCCTGTGATTTAGGTAAGCATTTATTTTAAAATCTTATCTGTTTGATAATTGGGATTAAAACTCAGCGTTCCTTCCTCAAAGTTTAAATAAAATACCCATAATGCGGTAGTGGATCCAGCTCTTCCATGATTTTTTTTATTTTTATGGTATGCAATGTTTCCTTGTTGCCAAGTAAGCTTACATGGGAATGTGAAGGTAGTGCATCTGGTTTTTCGGCATGGTATGTATATGAAGCAATCAGGGTACTTTGGTGTTCACTTCAATATGTTTGTGTTACAAGGGCATAGTAGAATAGCAGTGTTATCTAAAACAACTCATTTTGTAGTAAGTTATTTTTCTTATTTTTAAATTTGTGGGAAAGCTTCATCAGTATGCAGTAAGGCAGAATCTGCAATTGCCTTCACTAGTGTACGTTTCCAGTAACTCCATCAATTTGACTTCCACTGTTGTGGTTCAGTGGTAGAATCCTTGCCCTCCATTTGGGAGACCAGGGTTTGATTCCTGAACATGCATATAACTACAGCCATTGAGGCACTGAATGGACAGACTTGGTCAGGCATTAGGATCCTGTCTCAATGGTCTGAAGGGGGGATGGAAGGTCTGGGCAGCCTCCCCTCCTCCATACTTCTGCCTAGGTGTATGTGTTAAAGGTCCTGGTGACCTGTCATGCATATACCATGTTACAGAAGGATCGGTGGTTGCCTACTAAACCATCGAATTGGGGTAGTTATGCAAGATTTACACTAATATAATATATAACAGAATTAAGGTGACAAACCCTTCATATAAGCTGGTTGACTTTACTGACTGACATATAACGTAGCTATAACAATAATAGGCTTATTCTGTCTGTCTGGAGCACTCTTGATTGGTTGTCTCAGCAGCTAATCACAATGCTTACTGAAACAAGCAATACAGCCAGAATAAGCATGTTATTCTTATAGATCCTGAGGCATTTCAAACAGATCTGCAGGCAAGTCAGAGCTAGAACGAAGCACCAGGGTCCCCCACTGCAGAGCGGACAGGCTTCACTGAAGTAGGGGGAAGCCTTGAGGCCCTGGGGGGGCGCTGCCCTGGTAGAGGGAAGCACCAGGGTCCCCTGCAGCTCAGGGTCTGCGTGATCCTCTGGCTGCAGGAGACGCAGGCAGGCTCTGGGAGAGGGGGGGGAAAAAAAAAAATCAGGCCCCTCGCCACTTCCCCCTGCCCATCAGGTTATGTAGTCCCTGAGCTGCAGGGGGGAGGGCAGGGCAGTACTTCCCTCTGCGGTGGCAGTGTCCCCTAGGGCTGCCCAGGTGGGGTGCTAGCTGTGTGGGTGCAGCCCCAGGTTGCAGGCAGCACCCACTGGATCCAGCGGTGCATGGGGCACTGGAAGCCTGGGTGTGCCTGGGGAACCTTGGGCTTGGCAGGCTTCCAGCACCCTGTGTACCATCCCTGCTGCCTGGGACTGCCCGGAAGCGGGCTGGCTGCCCTGGAAAGGCAGCAGGAGGGTGGCTAGGTGTGCTGGCAGCTGGAGAAGGTGGTGGGGATGGTGCACGTAGCACTGGAAGCCCACCAAACCTGAGCTTCCCCGAGTACGCCCGAGCTTCCAGCGCCGCATGCACCATCCCTGCTGCCTTCTCTGGATAGGGCCCTTGTACACGTGAGGAATATCGCTGTTATTTGTTACGGAGCAAACTAAAATACCTGGGATGTGTTTTAGTTTGCTACATAAAAAAGTAATTTAAATTGAAATATGCCACTGAATGTGTACACTGTTATGAAATTTACTTGTAACATACTGCCAAGTGTGTATACTGTTATGAAGTTAAATCATTAAAAAGGGCAATTTCCTCACGTGTACAAGGGCCCATTCTCTGACTGAACAAATTACAACGCCAGACTTTTGACAAAATATGTATTTATATTCCTAAGCCTGTGTTTACACATGGACAGCTTTATGTGTAGCCTTGTCAAGGGTGAGAATTTCTGATTCTGTTAAAGTATTCAGTCAAAGGATAACTAAAAATCCTATATTTAAAGAAATACTTTTGCAATAAAAATTTAATCACAAATGTTTTGCGAGTTTCAGCTTTTATATATTGAATTTCTTCCACTTTCTCCTGAAGAGAGAAATAGAGAGCTTTTCACTGTGCTGCCTGTAGAAGAATCATGTTTAATAAATGCATTTCAAACATCTCTTTTTAATACTTGGGGAAGAAAGCTTTTAAACCAATCTGGGCAAAATCAAAGGGATGCAGACAAGACTGATAAAACTGACACATGCATCTGGATTAATAGACCTGGTTCCCTCCCTTGCTGTACCTGTTTCTGTGGAATTTTTCAGATGCTAAAATTACATTTCAGGACCTTGCCATCTCAGGTGCTTGCATCTTCTGACCTGTGCCTGAGAACAGATAGCCATAGAGGAGTAGTGGTGTGGTGTGGAGATTTTAGGCCTGATTTTTCTTTTGTTTCCCTGAGAAAGTACTGTGTTTTCTCACACATTATATACCTTTCCTCCCAAAATCAGTCTCCCCCCACTCCCCCAATATATTGGGGGGTGCATGTTAAGTGGGAAAGCTAATGCTCTGCCCAGGAGAACAGCTGCGGTATTACTATTCAGGTAGCTGAGGGAGGAACTAAATGGCTTGTTGCTCTTCACTGTACAGGTGTTAACAATCATATCTCCTTTATATTGGTGTTGATGTTCCATTAATCAAGCTAACCTTTTCTGTGTGCTAGGTGCTGGCTGGTCTCTCTACTACTATTTCATAGCCTTTTCAGTGTACATGCACCCATGGAGATGAGTCTTTAGCAGCAGCTAAGGATTTGGCTGTTGTTAAACTGAAAAGGAAAAATGAGTCAGCTGAAGATTAGGCTCTGTCCCGTCTCTCTGCAGCCATAACTCTGGAAAAAAATCTTTTGTTCTTCATTCTGCCTTTCCAAAATAAGGCATTTACTATATTTCAGGGTGTGTTGTTTGTGTGAAACGTGTCTGTTTTCTCAGAACATAAGAACACACAAAGTGCTGTATTAGGTTGGACCAATAGTCCATCTAGTCAAGAATGCTTTCTTCTTAAAGGAGAATGCTTTCTTCTTCAGAAGAATAGCCCAAGGCCTAAGTACCACTATCATTTCACTTCCATCTTCCAACAAGGGCCTCAGTGGTTCCATGACTTTGAGCTGGTTCTCTGCATAGGTATGAATTTCCATGTCGGACCTGGGGTGAACGTCATCTTTTTGCAGCAGGCCTCCTGCTGTTGGCAGTGATTACTAAACTGGCATTTACATGAGCATTTGCTCAGTTTAGCCCAAGCCAATTAATATTTTTGTGTATGAATATTGATATGGCTGCCCGGTTTGTAGGCATGATAAAGAACACTAGTTAGATGTATAGTCTCAGGAAGTAAAACAGTTGCCAGTCCCATTTAGTCTTCTAGAAGTGATTATACAACACACTATCTAAAAAGCTGTTAGGGTAGAAATGGGAATAAAAACAGCTGTGTTGAGAGAGGAGCATGAGAAGCTAAATATCACAGGAAAAAAAACTTTTTAGCCATAAAAGGAAGCTGTTTTATAGGATTTGCAATTTTCTCTTTTCTTTTAATGTCAGGCAAGTACAGCTTGAAGTGTCCTCTTGGTTTTGGCTGGTGGTACAGGAATGGATGGTGCTACCTTATAGAAGGCAACAGAAATTTGAGCTGGATGGAAGCCAGGCTGTTTTGTAGCCATTTTAAAGGAACAAGTCTATTGAAGCTGGAATCCTCTGATGAAAAGGTTTGACCAGGAATAGTTTTCCTCTTACTTGGGAAGCAGTCTGATGTTTTCTTGAGTAATGGAGACCATGAAAGGTACCGTATTTCACAGTGCATAAGTCAAGGTTTGAAGCCCAATTCTTAACTCTTAAAATTCAACCTCGACTTATACATGGTACCCTGTGAGTGGCACCAAGTTTGGCTTTCAGCTGGCATGGCCCAGGCAGTGCTGCTTGCAGGGGATGGGGCCACGCCAGCGAAGTGCTGAGCCTGGCACCCTCACAGGTGACAAAGCTGGGATCGGAAATTGGCTGGTGCGGCCCTATCCCCTGCAAGCGGTGCTGCCTGGGCAGCACCAGTGCTGCTCACGGGATGAGGCCACGCCAGCTGAGTGCCAAGCCCAGTCCCATCTGCTGCCAACAGTACTGCTCAACGTGAGCCCAGCCGCATCCCCTGCGAGTGACGCTGGACTCGGTGCTTGGCAGCAGTGCTCGCAGAAGACAGGGCCAGGGTTGGTGTTCAGCTGACGCAGCCCCATCCCCTGTGAGCCCAGCACCACTTACAGGGTTTGGGGCTGTGCCAGTTGAGCCTGACCCCATCACTGTCCCCTGCTAGCAGCATGGCCCCAGTTGAGCGCCAAGCCCGGTGCCGCTCATGGGGGACAGGGACAGAGCTGGGCTTGGCAGTCAGCTGGGGATGTGCTGCTCGCAGGGGACAGGGCCGTGCCAGCCGAGCATCAAGCCTGGCCCTGTCTGTTGTGAGCAGCACTGCTGAGCACTGAGCCCAGCACCTCTTGCAGGGGATGGAGCTGGGCTCAGCTCACCAGTGCTGCTCGTCAGTGGATGGGGCTGGGCTTGGTGCTCTGCTGGTGTGGTCCAGCAGCACCACTTGCAAGGGATGGGGCTATGCCAGTCGAGCGCCAAGCCCAGCTCTGACTTTTACATGGTGCCTATGAAAATCTTAACTTTTTATCGGAAAACCAAGGATCAACCTATACACCATGTCGAATTATACACCGTGAAATACAGTACATATCCTTCCTAATTTTTTGCACGTTAAGGGCCTTGTTCTAAGGGCACACTACAGACCTTAATTTTAGGTGGCTCCTGGACCTCTTAACCCCTGCATTGTCCGCACATTAACACATGAAACTAGTTTTAAGCACTCATTAGGCGGTTTAAAGTTATGCCATCCAGTTTACATTTATTTTTGATCGTGTTACCAAGCTCATGTTACACTAATCTGTAGCCACTTTAGGTCCTGATCAGGCCCGCTGCCTCCTTGGCCCCCCTAGTTGGGTTCCCACTCTTGTTCCCCAAAAGCCCAGATCAGCCCACTGCTACCCTTCCCCTCTTGGAATGGGCTTGCTGTTCCCAGGCCCCCCAGCACCCCATATCCATGCTCACCACCACCACTTCTCCCCCTACCCCAGTAACTTTTGTCTGTCTGTGCTATCCCAGGGGAGCAAGGAGGGAAGGGAAAACCCCTGCTTAGCATCTGCTGCTGCCTTCACGACTGCTGCTGTCTGGGGTGGGCTCAGCCAGAGAAGAGCAGCAGCTCAGTTGGGGCTGGGCAGGTGGGGTTCCCCTTCCCTTCCTGCTCCCCTGGGACAGTGTTGGTTTCTCTCCTGGTAAAGTAAGTGGAATGGGGGAGTCCTGGGGGCAGGGGAGTGCAGGAGGGAGCCTTGGGGAGCACTGGGGAAAGCCTGTAATGGGAGCGGGGGAGAATCTTAATGTTTCAGTCCTCAAGGCGCCTGCTGGTCTGAACTTAAGACTGCTCCAAACTCAAGCCATCACATACGCTGATCAACACTGGAGCAGCAAAAAGTGTAGTGTGTAATCAGGCCCGTGGGAAGGGGTGGGAATAGCAGGGAAATCACAGGTAACTCCTCTGGTTTAGAGGGAAAAATATCTGTGGATTTCCTCCCGCTCCTTTGTCTTCTGAAGGACACTTGTTTACATGTTTGTTGCTAATACTGTGTGGACCATTCAAAATGTCTGTGTTTTCTGTGTTAATAAGAAGCAGAAATTGGGTTATGTGGAAAGGTAACAAATGAAAACTTGTGGTTTAAATGATATCAGGTCTTGGAATAACACCTAAAAGTACCTGTTAAAAACTGAGTTTTCTGTATCAGTTTGTAATTTAGTGGATTGTGTTGCTTTACAGGACTGGCTGCAAAAGATGATAAAATGGCCTGTGTGGATAGGAATGAATAGGGCGACATCAGACTCTGTGTGGCAGTGGATAGATGGAGCAACAGCTGACACCTGGTAGAATTTCCTCTCTTGGTATTTGTAGCTTGTAATAGGTGCAAAGTTTATAGGTTGGATACTGTTCCCTGTAGTTGCTAAAGGTTTTGGATGCTTGACTTATTGTTCTCTTGATCAAGCTAAATTAAACAGTGTGTATATCAGGCCTTTGAAATGTATAACTCCCCCAAAATGTTAATTTAATGTCGTGGAGGCAAATCTGTTGAATTAATACACTTTTTTTTAACTAGGAACTGAAAGAAATATATATTCTGTGTGTGCACAATCCAGATACAGTGTCAACAGGTACCATGGATTCAAATAATGCCTGATAATTATCTAGGTCATGGTATAGTATAATGGGTACCTAAACTGTAGTAGGACAGTGCTTTAAGGCAGTAGTACTCAGGCTTTTTGGACAAATGGACCATTGTAACTATGAAATATTTTGTGGGCCACCAAGCACTGTTACCAACTTTTTATATACAAAGATAGAAATGGCAGTACAATGGCTAGGTGAACCGCTATGTGTACACACATCACAGTTTCACCATATTGTCATTGTCCAGACTAGGACTGAAACTTGTGTGGTGTACCATCCACAATGGCTTTCCCAAGGGATAGGGGCCTCCCCAGGAAAGTTAATCTTACCAACACTTTTGGCAATGATAACTTTTCTGTTTCTGATCACATTAAACAGAAAAGTTATCATTGCCAAAAGTGTTGGTAAGATTATATTGTACTTTTCTTTTGGAATAACACCTAAAAGTACCTGTTAAAAACTGAGTTTTCTGTATCAGTTTGTAATTTAGTGGATTGTGTTGCTTTACAGGACTGGCTGCAAAAGATGATAAAATGGCCTGTGTGGATAGGAATGAATAGGTCGCCATTAGACTCTGCGTGGTAGTGGGTGGGATGATACTTTTCTTTTTTCTCTTTTACCTCATTTCCATATCCCCCAAACTTAGTCATCTTGTCCATATAGGTTATTTTCTGTTCCTCTTTTCTTGGCATAAGATTTAATGAAAAGTAATACATTTGTTGTTTTGTTCAGTTGTATCATACAGTATACACAGGATTTATAAATCTACTGCATGGGAAATGTAACTTTGCTGTTGAAGTCCTTCTGTTTTTAGGCTGATTTAATATGTGTAGATGACGCACCATATTCTTGCTGGGGTTTTTCCCTTGCATTTTGAAATTCATTTTGGAATTTTGCTTGTTTCAGGATAAAGGTTCAAGGAAATGCAGCTGCAAACTGCGTTGCTGTTTGGTATAATGAAACGACTTTACGAGGAGTTGATTGCCTTTCAAAACACAATTTTGTGTGTAAAAGAAGAGAATGTAAGTAACTAGCTAGCTTTTCTTTTCACTCCTTTTATTTCCTCCGCAGTTTCTGTAAGTTCTTGTTAATTAGTTACAAATGATTGAGTATTTTAAAGTGCGCTTTTCCACTTGGAAATACAGGGGGTTCATTTTGCTCATAATTTTCTTCACACGCTGATGTAGTTCTGTTGTCTTCTGCGCAGTTGCTATTGGTTTGTTTAGGTGTGACATCAAAATAAGGCCCAACACATTCTTTACTATATGCCCTTGCTTTTTCATACATACTAATTATTATGTAATGTAAAGATGAGGGCTTTGATATCTAAACGGCCTTGTTTGTGGACCGGCAGCAGATTTAATTTTCCAGTTTGCATAAATTTAGGTATGTAACTGTACATTATGATTCCTGGTATAAATATTGGTTTCCTTTCCTTTAGTAGCTTGCTATGTTAAATGGCTTTAGTTAGTTGAATACTAGGCTCTAATTTAGAATAGGAAGAGGTCATGTGATGCTTAAAGCACCGAGCTAGGCCTGAGGAGGGTTTGGATTCAGTCTCTGGCTCTGCCCCAGATTTTTTGTGTCGTTGGTCAAGTCCCTTAACCTATCAGTACCTTAGTTCTCCGACCACTGCAAGATAGACACAGTAGTTTTTCCCTATCTTTCCCCGGTGAGAGGATAAATCCATAAATACTGGAGGAAGATAGATAAGTTATTATGACAGAGGCCATAATTCTGGGAATCTTTTTTCCTTTCTTTCTCTTCTGTGTAGCTGAAAATATGTTTCAGTTTTATGCTGGCCACATCATAATGCACAGTCAGAATGCGATTCCAAAAGTGCACTCTTCCCTTAAATCTGCTGAAAATGCTTGCCTGTATGAGAGAACACACTGTACTGGAATAGTCTATTCAAAGAAGCAGTATCATTTGGTTGGTGGAACAGAAATATTTAGAAGTTCTTATAAAGCTGACTCATTATACCTTAAAACTGGTAAGTATTTAATGGGTTTGTATGTATATTTGTAGTTTGTATTTATATTTGTCATATAAAGTTCGTGTTTGATTATATCAATCAAAGTACAAATATGGACTATGCCCTTTTTAATAGAATGTCTTTTGCATTCAGTTTTCCATTTCCATCGTTCATTAAAAATTCTTTCATGTCTCTGGATCTGCCGTATAGTGAGAGGCCAGTGGTGACTTCCCAGAGTCAAGTGTGAACTGGGACGCTTCTGCCTAGAACTGTTTCAGAAATTTTCTGTCTTCAGTCTTGAAGGACAGTGCATCACTTAGGAATATTAAGAGAAATTAAGAAAGAAGTGGGTTTTTAGAAATACGCAGGATAGAGATGGAAAGATTATTCTCTCTGACTCTCTGATGTGAACTTGAAGTAACTCACTGACCTTACAACAGTTAGTCCTGTCTTCATTTTAATAAGTTCAGAACTAACTCCTGTGTGTGTGCGTAAACATGAATTATAACAATAAACACAGTCCCTTGTACATCGAAAAACCTACATAGTTCAAACAGATAATAGGGATTCATTTAGTCTGCAACCTAAAATTTTTCCTTGCACAATCTTATCCCCTTCACATTTTTTTGAGGTGCCTGTGAATGGAATAGGCTGGCCTGGATGTATTTAAAGTCAGTCCTTTACTGATGTTAGGTGATTTTTTTACATATGAGAAAAGGTCTCTAAAACACTGGTTGAGAGCTGTAATTGTATTTTAAAAACTGAACAGCCAGAATCATGGGGTGTACCGTGGTTGCATCCAGAGGTCCAGTATGAAACTGAAGATAGGCCAGTTGAAAGTCTCTGGGTTAAGGTTAGAGGGGAGAGCAACAAGGGTGATGTTGTAGTGGGTGCCTGCTATAGCCCACCAGGCAAGGGGGAAGTGGTGGATGTGGCTTTCTTCAAACAGCTAGCGGAAGTTTCCCAATCATGAGCCCTAGTTCTCATGGGGGACTTCAATCATCCTCACATCTGCCGGGAGAGCAATACAGCAGTGCACAGGCAATCCAAGAAGTTTTTGGAGAGTGTTGGGGACAACTTCCTGGTGCAAGTACTGGAACAGCCAAGTAGGGGCCATGCTTTTCTTGACCTGCTGCTCACAAACAGGGAAGAATTGGTGGGGAATGTAGTAGTGGATGGAAACATGGGCAGCAGTGACCACAAGGCGATTGAGTTCAGGATCTTGAGGAAAGGAATTATGGAGAGCAGCAGAGCAAGGAGCCTGGATTTCAGAAAAGCAGACTTCAGCTCACCCAGGGAACTCAACGCAGGATCCCCTGGGAAGCCAGTCTGATGGGGAGAGGAGTCCAGGAGAGCTGGCTGTACTTTAAAGAAACCCTTACTGAGAGCGCAGGAACAAACCATCCCGATATGCAGGAAGACTAGCAAGTATGGCAGAAGACCAGCTTGGCTTATCAGGGAACTCTTCTGTAAACTAAAACACAAAAAGGAAGCTTATAAGAAGTGGAAACTTGGACAAAGAACTAGGTAGGAGTATAAGAGCATTGCTCAGGCATGCAGGGATAAAGTCAGGAAGGCCAAAGCACAATTGGAGTTGCAGCTAGCAAAGGCTGTGATGGGTAGCAAAAAGGGTTTCTACAAGTATGTCATGAGCAAGAGGAGGATCTGGGAAAGTATGGGTCCCTTACTGAATGGGGGAGGCAACCTTGTGACAGAGGATGCAGAAAGGGCTGAAGTGCTGAATGCCTTTTTTGCCTCAGTCTTTGCAGGCAAGGTCAGCTCCCAGACTACTGCACTGGGCAGCTCAGTTTGGGGAGGAGATGAGCAGCCCTTAGTGGTGAAAGAACACATTAGGGACTATTTAGGAAAGCTGGACATAAAGAAGTCCATGAGGCCAGATGGGATGCACCCATGGGCACTGGGGGAGTTGACTGATGATGTTGCAGAGCCACTGGCCATCATCTTTGAAAACTCATGGTGATCAGGAGAGGTCCTGGATGATTGGAAAAGGGCAAACATAGCGTCCATATTTAAGAAAGGGAAAAAGGAGGATCCAGGGAGCTACAGACCAGTCAGCCTGACCTCAGTCACTGGAAAAATCATGGAGCAGATCCTCAAGGAATCCATTTCTAAGCACTCAGAAGAGGAGGTGGTGATTAGGAACAGTCAGTATGAATTCACCAAGGGCAAATAATGCCTGACCAACCTGATTGCCTTTTGTGATGAGATGACTGGTTCTGCAGATACAGGGAGACCAGTGAATATGTCATACCTTGATTTTAGCAGGGCTTTTGATATGGTCTTCCACATCATTCTCACAGGCAAACTAAGGAAGTATAGGCTGAATGAATGGACTGTAAGGTTGAGAGAAAACTGGCTGGAGCATCAGGCTTGGGCTAATAATCAATGGCTCGATGTCTGGTTGGCAGCCGGTATCTAGCGGAGTGCCCCAGGGGCTTGTCCTGGGGCCAGTTTTGTTCAGTGTCTTCATCAATGATCTGGAAGATGGCACCCTCAGCAAGTCTGCAGGTGACACCAAGCTGCGGGGAGTAGTAGATATGCTGGAGGGTAGGGCTGGGATTCAGAGTGACCTAGACAAACTGGAGGATTGTGCCAAAAGAAATCTCATGAGTTTCAACAAGGACAAGCGCAAAGTCCTGCACTTAGGACAGAACAATCCTATGCACCGTGTGTACAGGCTGGGGGCTGCCTGGCTAAACAGAAGCCTGCAAGGACCTGGGGGTTACAGTGGACAATAAGCTGAATATGAGCCAGTAGTGTGCCCTTATTGCCAAGAAGCCTAATGGCATTCTGGGCTGCATTGGTAGGTGTGTTGTGAACAGGTCAAGGGAAGTGATTATTTCCCTCTATTCAGCACTGGTGAGGCCACATCTGCAGTATTGTGTTCAGTTTTGGGCCCCCCACTACAGATATGGACAAATTGGTGAGGGTTCAGCGGAAGCAAGCAAAAATTGTGAGGTGGCTGCGGCACATGACTTATGAGGAAGGACTGAGGGAACTGGGCTTATTTACTCTGGAGAAGAGAAGACTGACGGAAGACTTAATAGCAGCTTTCAACTACCTGAAGGGCGGTTTAAAAGAGGAGGGAGCTGGACCGTTCTCAGTCATGGTAGATGACAGAACAAGGAGCAGTGGTCTCAAGTTGCAGCAAGGGAAGTTTAGGTTAGATATTAGGAAGAATTTTCTCACTAGGAGGGCAGTAAAACACTGGAACAGGTTACCCAGAGAGGTTGTGGGCTCTCCATCCTTGGAGGTTTTTAAGACGTGGCTAGACAAAACCTTGGCTGGGATGATCTAGTTGGGGATGGTCTTGCTTTGAGCAGGGGTTGACCTCTAGAAGTCCCTTCCAACTCTAATTTTCTATGATTTGATTTAACATTTATCTTTTTTTGAAACAGAGAAAAGAGCATATTTTTGGTAACCCATGCTCAAGATGTTTGAAGTATTCTGCTCCCACTTAAGTTGGTGTAAATCAGGAATGATTTTACCAAGGCCACTGGTGTCTGTCAGTGTCAAAGTAGCCTGGGTCAGGGCACAGTCCGTTCTTGTTTTGTATTTATGAACTGAAATGGAAATAACCTTGCTTCCTATTAGGAAATAATACAGTTTTCTTCCAGATAGTTTTGAAACACTCAGCCCCTGCACTTAAGACAAATGAAGGGGTGGGGAAGGGCTCTGCACTATGACCTGATTTAACTCTGAAACTCTCTCTTCAGGTTGCCACCCAGGTTATTATGGCTCAGACTGTCAGTCCACATGCCGTCCGTGTGACAGGGGTCTTCCTTGTAACGGTGTTACAGGACACTGTGTGGGAACTTCCAGTGTTACTTGTAGCTTACAGTCTCAAGATCCACAGTGCTCCCCTGGAGAAGGTACACAAAGCAGTCATTTGGAGTGTTGTGCCCTTGTATTGGTTGATATATGATTTTTTAATTCTTAAAATAGTGAACTCTAACAAGTTGTGGCTTGTAGTTTCCAGGCAGTTGTGCCCACAGAGGCCTGAGTGGCACTATTTTCTGAAGACGTGTTACTACATAGAAGACACCAAAACTAAGACATGGAGTGAAGCAAGAAGAGCATGTCAGGGTTTTAAAGACACGGACCTTGCTATAATTACAGACAATGTAGAAAAGGTAGCATGCCTGGTTTCTCATTTGACACATTTTGAATTGAGGATTTGCTGTTTTATCTTGTTTTAAAAGTTGGCATTGATAGTATTAGTAGAGTTTTGCAGAATTTTTTACAGTCCAGAACTCAACTGTTCCCTTATTTTAGATGCGGCCCATATCGCTGGGTCAGTGACCAGGGAGAAAAATGTAATTTAAAATAATTGTAGATGCTAAGCTGCATGGAAATGCTCCTTTCAACAGCCTCTAGGTCTTTGTTTCATCTTTTGCTTTTAAATGTAGAAAATAATAGGCCAGAATGCATATCAGAAATGAGCCTTTGTTTTCAGACTGTACCTGAAAGCAGTTGTCCACTGAATGATTGATTGATTGATTGATTGTTGTTTCTGATTCAGTGGCTGGGTCTGCACTCAGTGCATCAGGAGGGCAAGGTGGCCCACTGTGGTTTTAAGGGCTACTCTTAATTATACTGACTACAGTGATCCCATAAACTACTGTATAGGTAGACTTTAGAGGGAGTCAGGTCCAGTGCCTCTGCAGCTGCGATGGTTGGTGGGTGGGAGATCTTGAGGGAGTAACCCACACTAAAAGTTAAAAACCAGGGATTTTGGTAGTCAAGTAGCATAAAAATGATAAGTAATCAAATGTTTTGAGTAGTTCTAACTCACTAACAGGATAAACAATTCTACATATTGATGAATGCAGAGTGGAATGGATAAAAGAGACTTATAATCGGGTTTGAATGGATTTATGTTGCATTTCAGACTTGGATACAATTTAAAGGAGAGAACAGCTGGATAGGTATGACCTATAAGAAAGAAGATTCCCTGTACGTGTGGGTTGATGGCAAACCTGCACATGCTGAAAGTGCATGGTGAGGCTAAGTTTCAATGAATACGTTGTTCTAAATAGGATGGTGTTAGATGGGGAAAACCATTAAACCCATCCCTGGCAGAGCACAATGCAGACCCTCAGCATTAGATAGTTTGTGGTTTGGTTTTGACCGCTAGCCACATTTCCCCTTGAACACCAAACCCATAAATTTAGTGATACTGTAGCTGACCTTATTCCATTTTGCAGTTCAACTCTTCTCTGTGGGTTGGCAGGGTCATCAGAACAAACAGGAGACATATGCTTGTCAAAGAAGACTGTGTGGTTGCCTTCAAGCATTATTTTTCTCCCGCACATTGTTTCTCGCTGAGAAAATGGATATGCAAAAGGAAGGAAGGTAAAAGTCATTTCCATTCTATGGAGCTCTAACTTAAGGCTCAATTGTATTATGTGTGCAGTGACTAAAATGTGATTTTAAAAAAAATTCAATCAGATGTATTTTAAAAAAATAAACCTACTTGAAATTAAAAAAATTCAATCAGATGTATTTTAAAAAAATAAATTTACTTGAAATTAAACCAGCCTATGCTGAGGCCAACACTTATTGTAATCTAAACTCAAAAATATTTTTCAAGCAGTTCATCTTTGCCCTCTAAGGCTTAAGTTCAAATCATTGAACTGGGGAAAGCCTAAAGCTAGGTTTTGAAAGGAATAGCCTTTTCTGCAGATCCACAGGGAATAGTCAGCTCCCACTTTTTGTTTAATTCAATAACTAATTCGTTTAGAGGTGAGAAGCTGAAAGCTTGGACCTCAGAAAGCAGAAAAGCTTGTTTTCTTCTTCCAGTCTTTGAGTGAAATTAAGTGTGAGACAGATCTATACTTTCTTAAGTCTTTGAAGGACATGCTGAGCAGAACAATGAGTTCAGTTCACATACTACAGATAAATACTTCCTTCAAATAACTTTATGAAAACATTTTACATTTAATGTTTTTTTGTGTTCAGCCCATTTAACAGTTTTAATTAATTCGTAACAAATTTAAAATGCTCTTTCCTCCTGAAATTTTAATTGCAGTTTCCATCCAAAAGCAACTTGACAAAAAGATTAATTATCTGCCAGAGAAGAAGTGCCATTTGCAATTTTAAATATAACTTGTCAAAATTTATAACATGAATAAATATCTGTTAAGCTGTATAACTGCTTGCATATGTATATAGAGCATATTTCTGGATAGTAACAGGTAGTGCTAGATTTAGGGTCAAGGCTATGTTTAGTGGCAAATCTATATATTTCTATTAAACATAGCTTTCACTCTAAATCTGGTATTACTTATTGCCATCCATAAGCATGCAAGGTGTTATATGATTTAATGGATATTTTAATGGTTCCTAACCAGTGAGAGTCAACATTTTTTCTTGAAAAATATCTAAAAAAAATGCAAAACAAGATTTAAATGTAGTAGTAGTATTTGCTTCCTGATTTAAATTGTGATTAGAATTGGCAGTTTTCAATTTTTAGGATTGGCACATTGCTTTAAATCAATCCATCCTTACCTCTGCTGCTCAGATTGTGCTTGGATTTTGAGGTGGCTGTGACTTGGTGGAGTCATCTTGCTTACTCCTCTCTTTTCTGCATGATCTGGCAGAGATTTCTTTATATACATATATTTCTTTATAATGTGTATAAAGAAAACATATATGTTTTCATTAGCATATCAGTCCAATTTTATGCTACTGTAACTTGGCTGATTTCAGAGGCCTAACTGCAGTGTAAAATTAAATCAGTGAAATGATGATATATCAGTTTTATAACCTTAGTGCCAATGCTTCTGTCATTTTAAACCTTTATATGCCTGACTTCCTATTGAGCACTTGTAGCTCCTAGGGATGTGAATCAGGACAGCACTTCTGAAAATCAGATGCTCAAGTATTAACTAGGTTGCAAATATATACCTCAATGCTTTTGACACAGGCTGATCCCTAGTGGAGACCATTAACAATATGGCTTAGGTCAGATCTCGCCTGGAAACTTTTGCTGGTATAATGATGTTAGTTAGGGTTGTGACTTTTTTTCAAAACAAATTTACTATACCTGTGGAAGCCACAGTGGAGATACAGTTATAACATCATAGAAAGTATTGTTTAGGGAGCTATTACAGACTATATAAGCAAAAGTGCCTTTATGTCATTATAAGATGCATCTAAAAAGTGTAGCTACACAGGAAAACCCTCATAGTATAACTATCAGCAAACATTTTCTAATGGAGACCTGCCCTTCATTTAATGAAGTGCTTCCACATATATGTGGGAAGAAAAAATAACCAATGAAACAGATTATAAGGTCAACGAACCATCAGCATATTCTGCCCTTTATAGATTTCATATAGTTTATCTTCTTGTCAAAGCCATCCAAATGGATGTGGAGTAAAGCAGATGGGCCCTCGTGTATCCACCTGTTCATGATCCTAAAGAAGGAGCTATGCACTGTTACTACTGGTGCATTATCTATCTGAGACAATGTGATTTTAACAGTAGTGACACTCTTAGAGGGAGCCAGTAGAAATACAGGGGAATAGTTCTGGAAACAGAGGCAAGTAAGGAATGGGGTTATCCCGATGCAGTTCTTTGGTCACTGCAGCAGCTTTTGATCAGCAGCTTTTCTTTGGTCACTGCTGCAGCACTTGTTGCTGTCTTGGGGACATATATGTTTTTCACTTTCCTAGTGTACTTCTTACTTCTCTGTTTGCCCTCCTGCTGTACTAAGTGGCATGAACTCTGTCCTGTCTTTATGCAGCAGCAAGGCTCTTAGCTCATGAGAGGAGCTCCTAGGGGTTATTCCAATACAAATGAAAATGCTGCAGTTGCCACCTTCTGATGCTATCCATATGAACCACTGGCTTTGGTCTTGATTAACTTGGAAACAAATGTATTCTGAGGAGCTCTGCAGTTTATGCCTCCTGCTATATCCTATCCTATTCCGTGCAGACTTTTTCTGAATTTCATTTCCTATGCTCATGCTTTTATGGGAGGATGTTATACAGTTAATTGTCCTGTTAATTTTTACAGTTCTCAACTACTTTACAGTACATGAGGGGAGAGTGTTATATAGCCCTTATGTACCAGCATCAAATATTTATAACAACGTAACGGCCGCCAAAGATGCTTGCTCCCATCTACAGAACTGCACTGGAGTAGTGGTTGTGGGAGAGCACAACATTGTACAAAGTGGAACAGAACTCTATAACATCAGGAACAGAACTGTGAAAACCCTTATCAAATCGGGTATGTGGAACATGTGAGAGCTTTTCAAACTCACTGTCCTCTGTGAATGAAAATCTAGTGGATATGGAAGTGGTGGGTTTGTATTTTTGAGTCTCACTTAATATACAAAAGAGTAAAACATAAAACAGCTGCAAACTTTTAGGGAGAACTGCTAGTTAAGAACTACATCCAGCAGAGAAATTGAAGGTTTACTTCCTTTTACAGAAATAAAAGATGAAGCCAGGTTCTGCTTCTGTAGATGAATGTTATATATCACTACTGTGCAAAAGCATAAGATAAAATGAACCAGCACAAAACATGGTAGAAAGACTGTGTTCTTGTGGAAATGCAGGGCATAAGGCTTTGAACATACCTAGTGCTTTAAAAGCCAGATTGATCCAATATTGACGAATGCTAGCTCTTTCCTTCCTCACCTACCCTGGTGCTGAACCTGCCAACCATTGTCAGAGTCTAGAAACACTTCTGTGAGTATTTCAGTCTTAGTTATATCTACCTTTTCTAACGCTAACAATCTGAAGCCTTGTTGTTGTTTTGGAGGGAAGCCTTAAATCAAGATCTCTTTGCACACTGTGCTTCCATTGCATTTAAAGGCAGGTATTTTGAAAAGCGCCTTAAGTGCCATGGTAAGTAATATTTCATGCTAATTCATTAGAGGGGAGAACATTTTACCACTTAGCTTCCATTTTGCTCCTGCTGGTTTGCATTACAAATCGTAATCACTCGCTCAGGTCCCAGTAGGCATGCTCTTAATTTCTGTTAACATTAATGAGTGCTATGTGAATGTGCAGAGCACAGAAGCCAGAACACTGGGCCCCAAATGCTTCACCTTCTAATTACAGTTGAGGAAAACAATACCATATGACCAGAAGTAAAGATCACTGAATGGCTGCTTCAGTCCTTTCAGCTTTTCAGCTTTTCATCTCTGCTCGTATGTGGTTAGCATTTTTTTTTCCTACAGATTGTGTTTCTGGAAGGTTTGGGCCTCTCTGTGAGCATGAGTGCCCACCCTGCCAGCAGGGAGTTTCTTGCAATCCCCACACAGGAAAGTGTGGGGATACAGTGTTTTGTACTACAGAGAGTAGCAGTATCCCCTGTGAAAAAGGTGAGCTTATTTAACATCCTTAGGGAGGGGGAGGTGGGAAATTTGGCTTTAGGCAGGACTTGCTTCTGCCCTATCTCTTTTCTTTATTCACATATTGTTGCTGTTTGTAGTGCCATTAGACACAAAGGACTTACGGAGGAGGGGGAGGAGGAATTGCCATGGAAATCATTGTAGTGACACCAATAAACTGGTATGAAAGGAAAAAAATCTATATGGCACGAATGCCATTGCAACCTGAAGTGGATTCAGTTTAGACCTGTGGTCTTTATTCTGAACATATTATACAAGAATGGTCTTAAATGGTTTAGCTTATAGTAATTGTTTCATCAATGGGGCTCAACCAGGGATGAACTGGTGAATGTATGCTCTGATTTTAGGTTCCTTGTTTGGCGGGTCATGTCCTGTTGAAGATGAATGGCAGTACTGGCAAGGAAGCTGTTACTATATCCCCAGAGCAAAGAGGCAAAGCTGGCAGCATGCAAGAGACCTGTGCAGGCGTTACAGGGACACAGATCTTCTGTGGCTAGCACATCCTGAGGAGAAGGTACAATAGGATGCACAAGGAGCGTTCACTGACAGTGTGTGTGTTTAGTTTTGCAAATCTCAATTTGTTATGAAACTATATTTACAGTGTGAGGAAGGAGTATGTATCACTCCATGTGCAGATTAAAAGTTCTGATTTCCTTATGCAATTCTTTGCCTAAAGGATACCCTCTGCAGGGTATTCTCTCTTGATACCCTGCAGAATCTCTGCTCTGAGAAACCAGGATAATCATTTTATATAAAATAACCGTAATTGAAAAATCCAAGGGGAGTAGAGGTTAAATTTAATTAAATTTAGTTTTTGTATGTGTGTTGTTCTCTAATCCCCATCTCATGGCATCTGAACATTTTGGCTGCTTGCAAACATCAAAAAAGCGGTGGGGAAGGGGGGGCGGCGCACACTTTAAACTCGGTGCACTCCCGTGCCAAACCCAGCACATGCCCAGAAGAGGCAGCGTGTTAGTTGAACCCAGCTCACCCAACATCTCTATAGATAAGGCGCTTTAGTGGGGGTTTTTTGGCACTTTTATTTAATATCTGATTGATTCAGCTTTAGAAAGAAGTGCCAGAAGCCCCGCTGAAGTGCCCAATCTTGAGACACTGCAGAGCTGGGTCAAAGTAATGTGCTGCTTCTTTTGGTAAAGTGCTCTGACTGTTGCTAACCTTGCAAATGTGAGTGAGATTTACTTTACACTACTCGTGCAATCAGTTTATATTTGGAGTTGTCTCCGTTAAAACAGGCTAGCCAATTTAACTTCTACTTAGTCGTTTTATAATCAGTTTCATAGTTTGTTTCTTTTTGCGCAGGCAGAATACCATATTTCCCCATGGCAAGCACTGCAAGAAATTGTTCTAAATATATTTAAAATCATTTTCGACACATTAAAAGCATATTTTACAAGATAGGTATTTTATGCCAAATGGGAGTTGATAGAGTGTCCCTTTGCAATTCTGGAATTTTACTAGAGAAGAGCTGCTTGTCAGTTTTGCTGATGCAAAAGTTTTTTTCTTCCCAGAGGTCACTGAATTAAAGTTTTCTTACAGACTGTAAACCACTCTGCTCCCAAAGGATTCCTCTCTAAATGTATGGTTGTAAGGTGTATGCACACAGAAATTAAAGCAGTTATAGATAATCTTCTACTCAGTGATTAGTTTCAAGTCCTTAACTCCTGGATTAGGGAAAGTTACGTTAGTTTGAATCAGGCAGAAGCGAGGGTAGAGATGTACTTTATAAACTAACTGAATCAGCGATGCATATACTTTTATGGGCAAGAGTTTAATTTATCAAGCTCATGAAAGGTTATACATCACTGATTCAGTTAATCCATAACTATTTGTGCATTTGCAGCATCACATACAGTAGTAGCACAAATTTGTGCCGCTACTTTGTGCTGCAGTGCGTGCCCCTGCTTGTGTGGTTTCCAGCAGGACACGTTGTCCTGCTGCTCCATATGCTGCAAGGGGGCTTGCTGGGGCACAGGGTTCCTCAGCGAGGGGCTAGCTGGCCCCAGCCAGCCAGGGAGTGGCATGTGGAGGCTGCTTGCTCCTCTGTCCCTGTGCGTTGCTGAGCCCCTGTACTGAGGCACCCCACACGCTAGCCAGCTGCTTCCCTGCTAGCTGGGGCGCAGCGTGCCTCGAGATGGGAGAGCAAGCAGCTCTGGGTTGCCTGCTCCCTGGTCTCTGCATGCTTTTGCGTGGGGGCTCCACTGTGGAGCCCCGGCGCTGAGGCCCATGGAGCCCTCATCTTGAGGCACACTGGAGCTGGCTGGGGCACAATGTGCCTTGAGATGGGGGTCCACATGCCAGGGTGGGGGCTCTGCAGCAGAGCCCCCACGCTGAAGCACATGGAGACATGGGAGCAGGTAGACCAGGGTTGCCTGCTCCCCTGTCTCAACATTGGGGAGCTGGGTGCCTCAGCACAGGAACTCAGCAGTGCGTGGAGTTGAAGGAGCAGGCAGCCTGCTCCCCCATCTCCATGTTTGTTTTGTCACACAGCACTTTTGCATGCTTTGTTGCTTTTTCCGCCCAGGGGTTTCTTTTGCTACTGGGAAATCCTGGTAGCAAATTTTGCCTGAGCACTGCTAATTAGCAGTGACATACACGGTTTAATGTGCAACATATGCAGTTTGTGGTACTGCAGAGAGGTTTGCTGTGTCACATACCTCATGTGCCTGCATGTCTGGATCTGGCCAAGGTGCCAGCCCTGTGCAGTGGATCCAGGGCCAGTATGGATTGGGCCTACAGAATGGCATTGTATGACACATGCAGTGTATACCCTTGTCTGGCATGGGTGCGTATGTAGCATGCACCCCAGACTGGCTGCATGTGCCATGTGCAGCACATGCAGCTGGGGCTAATGCATGCTGCATGTGGTGTGCAGTGCCAGTTCTGGGTGTGCGCTGTTTGTAGGGCCTGTGTTGGATTGGCTGTACACACTTACTCTAGTACATGGGGCCAATCTGTGGACCTGATTTGGACCAGCCTCGCACCCCCTATCTGGTCCATGGGGCCAGATGAATTCAGTACCTCTGTAGTGCATCAGACAGTCGCATCCTAATATGGCAAGGGAGCCTGTCACTCAGCTACCCAATACAGTACTCTGTGAATTATGTTATTACTCTGAATAGCTGTGGGTGGGGAAGGGGAATCATCTTCTTGCAATGTATTGTTTTCAGTGTCTGTTACAGCCATAGTATCTTTCCAAGAGAAAAGTTCCTGTCGTACAGCATTTTGTCTCACTTTGGTTGTTCCTAGGAATGGCTGTTCTCTAAAGTTCCCAAAGCATCCTTCTGGACAGGCCTTTATGGGGTTAGGTGGTGTTCAGTTTTGAAGTGGTCAAACAGTCAAATCCCTTTTGCACGCTCAGCATGGTAAGTTAAATAAATACATGCAAGGAAAGTAAAGTTGAATACTACAGGCATTGCTTAAATTGCATCCAGTAGGTCACGGTCTCTGTTTGATTTTTCATGTCTAGCCATCCTCCCTTTTAACATGGAGTTCTGGCCTAAAGAGAGAATACAGGCTCAAATAGTGCAGTTTGTATTTCACTGAAGCCAGGTGCATTGGAAACACTAGTGAAAATGGCCAGCTGGTACTAGGTAGCCAAGTAACTTTGGGAACAGGGCTCCTACTTTCTGGGACTATTTTTCTACCAATAAAAATCAACAGAAACCCACAGAAAATGAGGGATTCAAGGAAGGAACTCACAATCTTACTAAGATTTCCAGTGGTTGTAATTGTAGCTGACAAAAGATGAGTTTTCTGGTAAGTCTTGAATGCACTGTCCATTAGGTAATGCTTAGATACCTGTGGGGAGAACTATTCCTTGGGTACAGAGCTAGTTAGTGTAAAATGTATTTCAGTGAAAGGTTTTGGTTGTACGTGGGTATGCTATGTATTAGTTCTCTAATGAATTCTAATGCAAGCCTGCTTGGTTTGATTATTGAATGAGAGCTAGCTTCACTTGTTTCAGGCAAATGGTCATCTCCTAATTTCCAGCCACCCAGTTAGCTACTTGGCTTCCTTGCCTTAAATTATAGTAATTCTTAGTTGATTACCTTTTGTGCTTTTGTAGTGGAAACATTCTTGCTTCTGACAGTTGTCATCCATACCATTTATTTAATGTAATACATTGCTTTATTAGTGATATAAAATATTTTCTGCAAAAGTGGGGAAAAATCCATTCTAGAGCGGATGATCTGAGGAAGGGCATTTGATGCCTGAAAGCTTGTCCAGTAGCTCTCCCAACTATCCAGCTATACAGTTGGTCCAATAAAAGATATCACAGGAAGTTCTCACTTCTCAGACATTTCCTGGATCATCACAGGTAGAACAGTACTCCACTCCTCCTAGAAAAAATAATTTGTATATTTGGAAGTGTTAGTAGCTTTTAAACTCAACTCTGGCCTGGGCTGCATGCATAGACCCAACAGCAGGAGCACAAGCCATGCATATCAGATGCAGAAATGTGTTCAGTGGGCAGATTGCAACACTTCTACTTCTTGTTCCCAGCAATGAGCAGCTGCATGAGTGAGTAGTTGTCTTGGGTAGACCTTACTGATGGGAGTTGGGTGCCAGATTCAGTCTGTGGCATACAGGTAGGCGTTTTTGGAAACCCAACCTGTTGGAAGTCATTGCTCATTGTGAGCAATAAGATCTCAAATCAAGAAATCAAGGGTGAAACAAGGTGTGTTCTTTCACTTCTTACCTCTTAAGACTTTAGTCACTTGTGTTGCAGAGCATTTTCCCAAAATAAGCATGGAACATACTGATGTTCTGAAGACCCTTAATTACTAAATCCATTTTGCACAACAAGAAACTGTAATATGTTCTGTAGTGTGTAATTCATTCAGTGACTGGAATGGGAATGCAGCATCATCAGCTTGTCAATAACTGCCTGCAGGAAACCGTGAAACTCAAATTGGAGTCTGGGGTGTAAGATGATAAAGCACTGACTGATAGGAAAACCTTGTAACCTCCCATGATATTTGTTTCTCTGAGGTTGTCTCTACACAAGTGGACTGTAACTGCCAAGTGCTGTGTGCAGCTGAATGCTCTGAAGGGCCATTTGGCAGCTGTTTACTGCTTTCAGAAAGCCCCGTGGATTTGCAAGAGAAAAGAAGAAGGTAATCCAAATAAATACTCAGTTGGTTTGTGCGATAGTATGGAGCGACTAAGAATTTGTCCCTGGTACAAAATATAATTGTTTTTTAACATAATTGTGAACCATTATGTTACATGTCACTAGAATGGGACAGGCATTTCTTGGTGAGCGCAGAGATTGCTCTTAATTCTGCCAGGAAAGAAGCCCCACTTGTGCACCTGTACTATTGTCTGGAGCACTCTGGCTCAGACAGTTGTTTGTATCAAAAATATCACTGTTCTTGATAGGGACAGTTTAAATAAAGATAATGTGCTGCATACAGTGGACTATGTGTTTCCTATATGTGGGTCAAATGTATATTGTGGCAGAAGATCCAGAATATCTCCAATCAGTGGAAATATTGTAGATTTATATTGTTGTAACTAAGAGAAGAGATTGCATCTACTTTCATTTACTGTAGAGAAGAAAGGCCAAATTCTGTTTCCTGTCTTAGGTGCATAAGTGAACTTAGGCAGACAAGGTTCCTTGGGTGAATTTGATATCTTTTATTAGACCAACCCAAATGGTTGGAGAATAGTTATTAAGCAAGCTTTCGGGTTCAAAAACCCTTTGTCAGGCTAAGGAAGCTTCAGCAGTTGGAAAGTGAACTTAGGCACCCAAGTATGATTCTAATCTACTTTGCTGCTAATTCTACTGCTCATTAGCATGTCACAACAAAAGCTGTGATAATGTGCAGTAGAATTAGTCTACTGCACGTTAAGCATCATGAAAAGACTGTGCGCCTTTGATACTGTGCAGTAATGCTGGCTACTGCACATTTAATTAGTACATAAATTTAATGCGCCGTAGGAACGGCGCATTAATGCATGTATAGACATGCCCAGTGTGTAACAAAAGTAGATGTATTAATGGATTTTGAGGACTTGAACAGGGTGCAATAGGATCTCATTTTAGATCCTAGTTTAGGATCTAAGTTTACTTTGAAGCCTACTAAGTGGAGTAGAATCTGACCTAAGCTGTTCCTCACAGTTTTATATTTAAATTAAGGCTGTCAGTTAATCGCAGTTAATGTACACAATTAACAGAAAACAAATTAACATGTTAATTTTTGTAACGAGCGTTAATTGCACACATCCGTTTTGACCAGGGGTGGGCAAAATATGGGCCATCTTGCATCCTCTGCAGACTCAGCCCAGCGGAGCGGACCAGCTCTGGACCAGCTGGAACCCGCACACACAGCCCTGACCCCAGCCCACTCCACACCTGCTACAGACCGCCCACTGAGCGGTGGAAACAGCAGTGACAATTGGCCAAAAGCTGCTGCTCGGCACAACCTCTCCCCCTCACTGCTGCCGGGCCCCTCTTGCTGCAGCTGCCAGGGGCCCGTGCCTGGGCTGGCCTGCAGTTCTTCTCTGCCACTGTCACTGCTGCCTTTGGGCCACTCAGGGGGGCAGTGGTGGAGCCACAGGGAAGCCTGGGCATGGGGTCCAGATGGCCGCAGCAAGAAGGGCCCAGCAGTGGCAATGGGGAGAGGCTGCTTTTTTCCCCACACCTGGCTGTTGCTGCTGCTGCTCAGCATGAGCAGTTGAGTCTGGAGCAGGAGCAGGAGCGGGATGGGGCGGGGTTGGGGCTCTTCGCACGGCCAGCATGAGTCCAAGGTGAGCCAGGGTCGGGGCTGGGGCTGTGCGCTGTTGGTGGTGGCGAGGAGGAACCACAGGGTGCATGGGCTCTGGGTTGTTGGGTGAGGTGGGTTCTGACTATTGTTTAACTGTGCGATCAAAATTGCAAATAATTGCAGCTATTTTTTTTAAATATTGCAATTAATTGCAATGAAATTTTTTAATTGTTTGTCAGCCCTAATTTAAATCATCTTGGCTTTGAGTGGCATGCAGTTCAATTTACATTGTTGTGATTTTGATTTTAGACTCCCAACTTATACATAATGACGTGTATCTGCTTTTTAGAATATGTAAGTAAAAAAATAAAACCACCCCTCAAGCAAGCAAATGTATGTGTTATAGGAATGATCGATTTCCAGGAATTCCAAGGATATTATGTGGTTGGCACCTATACATCAAACTCTTCCTACCAGTCATCACTGGAAGCTGTACAGCTCTGTAGATTTCAGCGAAGCACTTGCAATGCCGTTGGGATGATCAAAGGAGAATACAGAACTATGTTTGCCACCCGGCTTCTGCTCATCAGTGGAGCCCTTGGAGATGAAAGTGCTGCCTATATAAAATCGGGTATGTTGAAGAATATTGAAGAATGTCCCTTGTGGGTGGTGAGTAAACTGCCTTTGATCTCAGACAAACTTCCTTGGGCCCAGGCTACTGGAAGGCAATTTGATCTTCCTATTCTGGCACAAGAAAAGCTATTCAGCCACACGTGCATGTCACTGCTCTGACTTCAGGTCACATTTCAAGCTGCCCTGGAGTCAAGTTCTCTTTCTAGCTAGATAATATTTTTGTGGTATTCACAGATTGGGTCTTCTAGTTAGTTTTACATGTAGTGTGATGTGCCCATTTAACAGAGGGAGAAACTGAGAAGTAATAAAAACTGTGACACATTGCCAAATCCAAGGATCAAATCCAAGAATCCCAGATCTTAGTTTTAAGCCTATAAGAGCCTTACATTGACAACTGTAACTAGTAGGAAGAAGTGAGAAGGATTTCCAAGACAGTGCATGCTACAAAACAGTATTGCTTCTGACCTGGCTTCTGCCTTAAGTGTCTAACAGTGGTTTACTTTTGATCCAGTGCTATAATTATATTTTGAGTTCCTGGGAAAAGGCACAGTCAAACTGTATTCATGGGTTTGAGAATAAGCGTCCCACTGACTTTTGATGAGCGAATAATGAACCAGTCTTGTTCCTGATTTTCAAAGAGCAGGATTCCTGGATCTTTCTCTGGTCAAAACATGAAGCAAGACACAAAGCTGAAAAAGTCAGGAATAACATACACAAGCATATACATAGTCACACACCTGAGTCTTAACCTTAAGAATGTCTCTCTAACTCTGCTTTTAGACCCAGGTGTTATTAGCAATTAAAAACAAGGAGTAGTGTTATCCCAACATATAAGGAATGGTGTATCTTGGGGTGCTGATGTACCACTATAGATGCAAGTAGCTTGGAAAAATCTACTCCCATGGAAAGAGGGACAGGGAATCTATGGACCCTGGATCTTAGTCTTGTGATTTATCTGAGCTGTACCAGTTTTATACAGCAGCTCTGATGTGTCTGTATTAGTTTCAGTGGTATTTACATCTTTTCCATGTAAATACAGGTTTCCCTTGCTTTATGCTGTACGCGCATTCCCGGAAAATGGTGTATAACTTAAATTTGCATAAAGGGAACCCACTTTACAATGTAATAAATAGGGATATGTTGCAGGACCTTGACTGTACTGACCCCCAGACCCATTTCTACCGCTTTTACAAGACAGTTTTGGTACTCACCAGCTGCAGACAGTACACACAAGCACTAGGCACTATCAGAACTACAGAAACACATGTTGCAGACAACGAGCAAGAAACACAGATCCACACAGGAGACTGTATTTTGGTGTGCGTCACTCCCACAATGCACCGCACAAAGCAGCTGACTGCGAGCTTCCACACCGATCGCATAAAGAGTGAATTTACTTTGCATATAATACATTTTTGGTATAAAAAGGGTTATCACATAAGAGTGAATTTGCACATACAGAACCTGCATAAATCGAGGGAAACCTGTAATATGGGATGCGCATTATAAGGAGTGGTTCACCCATTGTTTTGATTTCAGATTCTTGTCTTCCTTAATGTGTCTGTCTCTCTACTCTCTGTTTTGCAGCCTGTGCCTCAGGATACTATGGTCCAGAATGCCAGGGTAGTTGCACCTGTAATAAAATTGAAAACTGCAACCCTTTCACTGGAGAATGTGCTGAGTACTTACAGTGTTCAGAGAAATATGTGGCACAACAGTGCCAAAGAGGTAAAATGTATAACCCTGAAAACAGAAACCCTTGGATTGGCATGGCAAGTGAAAATGAAGATCGTTTGCAAAAAGTAGCTGTAGACCTTATCCTCTCTTTTGACATCCAGATATAATACCTCAAAGGGCAGGGCTGGCAGAGGGTATAGAGTAAACTTCTTATTTCATTATATTGGTTATTAGTCTGGTGGCTGTAGGTGCTATCAAATGTAGACGCCTTAGCTGTCATTCTTATAGAGACAACTTGTACTTCTAAAATGTCCCAGTAACTTTTGGTATTCCCAAAATCAGTACTCCATGGGGTTATTTGCACTTTCTGTTAGAGAAAGCTACAGACAAACCCAAGACATCATCATCTTGATCTTTTCCTCACTTTGCATCAAATGAGGTGGCAGCATCCCAATCCATATGGACAGTTAGGAACAACATACCTGGAGTAGAGGTATACAGCATTGCAAATTGTGTCCAAAATTGGCTTTGGCATGCTGTGGATATCAATAGTTCTTTGGTGTTATGTACAGCGTCTCATCAAAAGATCTGAAAGCACTTTACACTCATTAATCAAGACTTGTAATCTCCCTTGAGGCCCACATTAATATATTTGATTTATGCAAGGGGAAACAGGAACGTGTGCAGGTTAAGGCACTCACAGTTTTGGTGCATCACAAAATAGCAATAGCAAAGCTGTGGGAATTGAACCAAGCCCCTGGCTCTAACCACTAGGTTATGCCACTGTTCGCTTTCTTTTCTTTGCTTTTGATTTGACAACTTTTTTCACTGGAAGCTGTACACATGTCAGCTTTATATCTAATTCCCAGTCTTAAGATACTCTTCCCACCCCTGCCCTGTATTTTCAGGTATATGTACTGATCCAGAAATTGGTGGAAAGATGTTCATTGCTTTATGTGGGCCTTGGGATTAGGTGCACAGCAAGGTTATTTAAGCTCCACCTTTATTAGAAAAATGGGCCAAGTTTGCTGATTTCAGTTATTACAAGTGTACCATGTTTTACTATATTGGATAACTGGATTTTTTTTAAACACAGAAGGGGTTGGGCATGCTGCTTCCAACAGGGAATTTTTCTGAGTATTCTGTTTGCTTTAAACGCTGATATATTGCCATTTGTACCTTAGGTGTGGTCAGTCTGAAGTGTCCAGAGAACCCTGGGTGGTGGTACTGGAATGGCAGGTGTTATTATATAGAAGAAACGAATAGTTCAACCTGGCTAGAAGCAAAGAATTTCTGCACTGCCTATAATGGCACTGATCTCCTTGTATTGGACAGTGCAGAAGAAGAGGTAAAATGTTTCTGTTTCTAAGTGGTGATAAAAATGGTGGTCACAGATGGAAAATGGGCACTCTGTAAGCACAGAAAACAGGTCTTCCTGTTTTCCCTCACAGATACCTCCTTTCCAGACAAAATCCTTATAAATGTTAGCACATATAGCTGACTTATCTAGCATGTTAGAGCTCTTATTAGCATTAAGGGCTGCTAATTGAGCTGTGCTTGCAAGCTAAACTCCAGCACATCAGAACCTTGTGCTAAGGATGGTCAGGGCTGTGGAACTGTTTTCACAAGAAGTTGCAGAAATAGTCAGTCACTCAGTGCAGAACTGTGAACTTTCTGTAGTGAAAAATTGCAGAGCAGCATTTTGCTAAAACCAAATTAACTGAAACTAAAATTCAGACTGCTAATCGTAATGGAAAGAGCAATGGTCATTTGAGCAGAATTTTGAAAAGTGAAAGTTGAGGTTCACTGGTTCATCTTCTACCACAAGCAAACACCCACATACAAACAAACAGAGCTTTTCAAGCCTGAAAGATACTTTATCTGTTTTACCCCTCGTGCATCTGTGCATTGCCTGGCTGGAAAATGAGGATCGAACTCTGGAGCTGGACCTGGCTGAACACACGGTCTCTTGGAAAGATAGTGAGCGTGATCTCACTTAAATGACACTAGGGATGTAATTTGAGCTATTTATAGGTGTTTAAATGAGAAAAATCAAGCTATAAGTACTCTTGCTATGAGACCTAAACAGCTGTGAGTTGCAGCATTGGGTGAGGTCTGCATATCTAACCCAAACAGTATAGATTTACGGGACAGTAGCATGAACAACCTCTTTGTCATTCCATGTGCCACACTTAGTCTCTTACCATGATAACTGGGCAGGAGTGCCTTAGTTCATAGCTGTATAAAACTTAATGCTGGCTGTCATTGGCTCACTGTAAAACTAATGCAGTATAGTATTAGAATAGACTTAGAAAATGCTTCAGTTTATTGTGGGAGTTAAATCTGCCACAGGTACCACTGGGAGAGACTCTGCCATGCTTTAAACTCTAGTAACTGTTTTATGTAGGCTGTTTGTATTTCACAGAGCCAATCTTGGTATCATCAATTCCCACTATTCTGCATATTTGGCCTTATTAACAGGTCGTGCTGTACCACACATTATTTTTCCAAGCATGCAAGGAACTTGTAATAAAATAAGCATAGTGTGAAGAGGCTCTGATGCCATAAGATTTGTTACAAGAGTGTATGACTTCTCAGCATCATTCTGGGTTGGCTTAAAAGTCTTTAAACCAGTCCACTGCAGAACATACCAGGAAAGTGAGGCTGTGTTCAGCCTAATCCTTTGAAATTGCCACACTTTTGTAGGAAATTATGTTCTACAGAAGGGAGCCATCTGTCAGATCCACGTCTCAGTCAGACTTTTGGTTTCAGTCCCTTCTCAGAGTTCAAGTGCTATGTGCAGGACACCATTAATAAATCTGCCTCTTCTTATACTCATCTGTCATTAACCTGTTCTATAACATAGACTTGTTTCTGTCCTGTAGGCCTGGATAACCTCTGTGTTAAACAAACCTGCGTGGATTGCCTCAGTGGTTTCCTTGCAAAGGGATAAGGAAAACATGGGCAGGAAGAATCAGCATATTTTGTAAGGCAACTTGCTTATTTCATAAACAAGGGTATTAAATCAATCTAAATCAGGTTTTGGAAACCATATATGTAAAGGGCTAGATCCTCAGCTGATGTCATTTTACTCCATTGACTTAAATACAGCTATGCTGGATTAGGACACGGGTGACGAATTCAAAGGCACAAGTATCTCTTAGGAGCCTAATTGCCTTTGTTCTCCAGTGAGAGATAGTGGTCCAGCAGTTCTTTGTCCCTTCTCCCCAGCTCAGGCTCTGTATTGATTACTCTGTGATGCAGTTACGTTTCCTCATCCTGTATCCCAGGGGATCCAGTTTTCCCCCTTCACTGAGAGGTCCAGCAGGTGGGATCAGGGAGAAACCACTGCCAGATATAAAAGGATGATTTAATTCCTATGCTAATGTAGGCCCAGGTTATGATTAATTCTTCTGTGGATTAAGGGAGTATACAAGGCACCTTCTTGCCATACAGTGGCCAGTTATAGTCGTGTTTCCGGATGCAGTTGGTACAAGGACCTCTTTGGAGACCATTGCCTTCCCCCCTTACCTTAGCTTTTGGAACAGGATTTCTGGAACAGGACCGTTCTCCTTTGAGAAATGAGATGGAGTTCTGCTCCGCAATTGCTGTGGGACAGGCATTCAGTTTTTGTGCATCTGCTGACGTGGGCCGGAAGGGCCTATTGCAGCGATGTATTTCTTTGATGTGTGTGACAGGAGCGACGTTAGGGTCGCTGTGCTCTCCCCTGTCTCCTCCTTTACTGTGCCAAGCTTCGGACTTGCACCCTCCTATTCTCGCCCGCCACGACTTTGATTGTATGCGAGTTCTTTATAGGGAGGCTACAGTTCTCCTGCTTCGGGTGTTCTGTGTACCCAAGCCTTGTGGGCTACGCGTGTACAACACTGTCTTGGCCTACCCCCTCGGGCCCTCCGTGGCCCTTCTCTGCAATGCTGCCCTCTCACAGGGTTTCCTGCACCACTACCCCCTCTTCTGGGGTTTCTCAGCCGCCCCTCTCTGGAGCTGGGGTCTGTACCCCCCCCAAACACTGTGCCCTCACTCTACCATGAGTCCCCTATGAGGCCTCCTCCATCCCCTTATAGCCTCACCCAAACCACTGGTGTAACAATAGCAAACATAAACCGTAACAAACACCAGCCTCTTGGCAACAACTTAAACATAAGCCACTAGCTATAACTAGGCTCAGGCCTACCGGGTTTTCTCTCCTACCACGGTGACCAACGCTGCTCTGGCATTCAGGTTTTCTCTCTTCTGGCAGGGAGCTCCTACATCCTTAGCTGCTGGTAGGGAACTGCCTCTGGCCTCCTTCCTGTGCTTTCTATAGGGGCCAGGCCCTGCCCCTTCCTTCAGCTGGCTAGGCAGGTGTGAGCCATTAGCTCCCTTTGGTTGCCTCAGCAACCGGCACCTGAAGGGTTATCCCAGCACTTCTAGTAGCAGGCACCCTCGTGCCCTGCTACAATATGGATAACTCTCTGTGGCTGATAGCCATCATAACTGGCTCTGACAGAGTGAGACATATAAGATGGAAAAGGAGTGTCCTGGAGGAAATGAGCTTGGAGAAATTCAGAAATGGTAAAAATAGGCAGTCTTGAAAGCTTTGAGACAAATATTTAAATATCACAAAAGAGAGAGGTGCAAGGCTAAAAGGGCATTTACAAAAAGGTACTCATGACCCAAGAGTCTGAGGCGGGACTTGAAACTCTACATATGGAGGTGTAACACGGATATTTGGGTGTGCTGTGATATGCATTCAGATGCTCAAATAGACTGAAAATTCTGCGCTGCCCATTGATTGGGAGCTGAGAGAAAAACTGCTCACTAGGGTGCCCCAGGGGAGGACAAAGAGCAAAGGCCATAAACTGTTAGAGGATGGGTTCAGGTTGAATGTAAGGAAGAACTTTTTTACAGTAAGGGTGACCAGAATCTGGAGTAGACTTCCCAAGGAAGTGGTGCAGTCCCCAACCTTAGAAGTCTTTAAAAGGAGACTAGATAGATACCTTGCTGGGATTTCATAGATTTCATAGACATTTGGGCTGGAAGGGACCCCGGAGGATCATCGAGTCCAGCCCCCTACCCCAGGGGCAGGAAGTCAGGAGGGATCATAGGATCCCAGCAAGATAAGCATCCAAATGTTTCTTGAAGGCGTTCAACGTGGGTACTTGAACCACCTCCGGCAGCAGTCTATTCCAAACCTTGGGGGCTCGGACAGTGAAGAAGTTCTTTCTTATGTCCAGCCTGAATTGGTCGCTCTGCAGTTTGTGACCATTTGATCGTGTCATCCCTTGGGGCGCTGTGGTAAACAGATGTTCCCCCAGGTCCTGATGAGCACCCCTGATAAACTTATTGGTGGCCATCAGATCACCCCTGAGCCTACGCTTTTCCAGGCTGAAGAGTCCCCTGGCTCTCAGCCTCTCATCATAAGGTCTGTTATCCTGACCTGTGATCATGCGTGTGGCTCTTCTCTGCACCCTCTCAAGCTTCTCCACATCCTTTTTGAATTGTGCAGCCCAAAACTGGATGCAGTACTCCAGCTGTGGCCTCACCAAGGCTGAGTACAACGGGAGAATGATGTCCTGGGATTTGCTTGAGAAGCATCTATGGATGCAAGCCAGCATTTTGCTTGCTTTA